CGGTAAAGACCGGTTACATCGTCTCGGAAGCCGCGTCAGTTGAGGACAACAAAGTCCGGCCGGAATGCCGGTTGGGCACCGGCAGCTTCGGCACCCGGCACTAATAACTAATCGCCCTGGAGCCTCGGTCTCCAAGCTTAAAAGCAGCAGCTCCTGTAACAGATCGAAAGTGCTTTCATCGAACCGTCTATAAGTTTCTGGTGACAAAGACGAGTGCACTACGATATCTGGTGCGAACCGGGTACGGGCGGCCGTGCCGGCACCTGTGCGTTCCTTGCGCGGCATGCCGAAGCGGCCGGCGGCGAGTTGCGCGTACGCGACGAGGACTGTCTGGTAATGGTTTGGGATCACGTCGTTTACATCTTGCCCGCTATTCTTGCTTGCTGCCATTACATTAATTCTATTATATCATGACATCCGAGCATGCACGTCTGCTCCTTCATTATTCCACCAATATACCCCCTGCAATACTCCCCATCCCCGTCCACAGCTTACCATTTGCCCTGTCAGTTCTTCACTGCTTCCTTTGAGTCTCATCGTGTCTCTTGCATACCCCACACTCACACGGAATGTTTGACCAAAACTGCCGAGGCAGCGGCTTTTCATCATCATGTAACTACAAGTACAGGTGTAACAAGAAGAGAGGTGTGCGACGAAAAATGTTAGTGGGGGGAGTTGTAATGTAGGGGAGAAGACATATAGAGAGATATAGTACATATGAAAAAGAAAATATATAATGCATATGAGTCTGTGGAAGGCGAGGGATGCAGAAATGAGAGCATATACCACATGAGATAATACTTGAAACGCATAAGAAACTGTACACGGGGAAGCGGGGCATGCAGGGATGAGATAAAGCAAAGATGGACGAAGTGGGCGACAAGGGACCGAGAATGCCGAAGAGGCCGAGCGCGCCGGGCGGCCGGGAGGCCTCCAAGTCCTTGCCGAGCATGCCGAAGGGGCCGGATGCGCCGGCGAAGACTTGTAAGGGGGAAAGGCCCCCACTTACTTACTTCTTTCCCTTCTCCCCAGTCTTCTTAGCCGGGGTCTTCGCGGGCGCCTTCGCGGGAGTCTTCGCCGGGGTCTTCCTCGCCTGCGGCTTCTTCCCCCGCGACTTCTTGCCCGCCTCAGGTTCCGCATCCTCTTCCCCCTCCTCGGGCGCCAGCTCCTGCTCCTCGGCATCCTTGCGCGAAGCCGCCTTCTTCGATGAGGCCTTCTTCTTCTTCGCCGGCTGATCGTCCTCGTCGTCCAGCATGGGCGCAGGGCCCGTCTCCTCCTCATCCTGGACGTCGTTGCGCTTGCGCTTGCCCGCGTTCGCCACAGGAGGAGTCGACTCCTTGGCCTTGGCCTCCGGCTCCTTCGCGTCCTTGGCGGGGTTGCGGTTAGAGCGCCTAGGAGGGGGAGCCGCGGTCGGCTCAGTTGCCACAGCCCTACGCTTCGCTATCCCCTCCGCAATGCGACGGCGCGTCTCCGCCGAGTCAGGAACATCGGGGTCCGTGGTGTCGTCGGGATCCACGGCCATAGCGTCGGTGGCGGGAGCAGAGGGCGGAGGATCCTTCGCTGTTGCCTTGTTCTCGGTCCGCTTCCTCGGAGGAGGGAGGCGCTTCATCCCAGCCTCCCCCTCAGGCTCTCCGGGCGACTTGGCTGCCGGGGTAGGCGCCGACACTCCCTCTACGGGCGAGGCGGTGGCAGGTGCAGGTTTGACGGGGGGGAGTTCATCCCTAGAAGGGGTTGGCTCGCGGGAGGGAGTGCCATCGGAGAGCGGGGAAGGTGGCGGCGTAGGCTTGTTGGCGGTCGTCGGCGTAGTGGAGCGTGCACGTCCTGGCTCGACGGTCTTGTCCACATCGTCGACTTGCATCTGCACGGCTTCCTCACCGTCCTTCCCCTTCGCCCCTTCCTCGCCATCCTTCTCCTTCGCCCCTTCCTCGCCATCCTTCTCCTTCGCCCCTTCCTCGCCATCCTTCTGCACATCAACCTTGCTGCCGTCAGCGCCGAGTGTGCCGTCAGCGCCGGATGTGCCGGGCGTGCCGGACGTGCCGGGTGTGCCGGGCGCGGTCTCCGAACGGGAAGTGCTGGCGGCCGCGCCAACGTTCGCGCCCTCCTCGGTGGCGTCGCCTGTGGGTGTGGTCTTGTCCAACACCCCTGCCGGCGCAGGTTGAGGTGCCGATGGCTGCGGCGCGGAC